GTAGTATTGCGTAATGAATTTGAACTACTGTGTATTTAACTCAAATCTTTGTATATTTAACTCAAATTTTGCTACAATAGGCTCCATTCTTAACTATGGGTCATCTGTAACCCGAGCATTCTTAATCCAGGAACTACTTGTACTGTATCTGCAGTTCTCAATATGTTTTTGTTATCTCCAGTTCTTCTGTCAGCTTCCATCATCATTTCTCAAAATGATTATACTGCAGGGATAAACAAAAGCACCTCTTTATTTCAATTGCACTAACAATATATAATTTGTATAGAATGGCTCAGGACGATACTGCCTTGCAAAAGTTTAACAATAAATCAAACATCACTTTTCTTTTTAATTTGTATTTATTTTACTTATAATTTTACTAATTTCTAAGCTGTAATTTTGCAGTGTGATAAATGTACTGTCTGGTATGATCTATTAATAAAAAATAGTTTCTCCTTAGGCTTTTCATCTTAAAGTACCATTCGAACATTAATTAATCTTAGCGGAATACTGATACTAGAAGGGTGATTACAAATGGCTCACATAAGAAAATACTTCTTGAAATAGCAATAGGATTAATTAATTTAAATTGCATCCTTGGGGCTCCTAGCTTGGCATCTTGGATTGATTGGATCTCCTTTTCCAATCTCAAAAAAAAAACAAAACTTCTGGGTCTTTCCAATTCTGGATCAAGCCATGGGGCAAGTTGGAAGAACTACATATCAACCACCATACTTCCAACCTGACAATAAAATAAGGGCATCCCTGGAGCTGGTTAAATTAACTTACTCCTTTTGCAAGAGAAAATTATGGAGGAAAAGCAAAGCATACTACCCCACCCCACATATCTGTCCTCTTGGGATGAACTCAACAAAAGACTAGGTCAACATCTAATTCTCATTTCTATCACCACACCCTAAAATTATATTGGTTGAAGCAAACTGCCAGTTTGTTATGGCAACATCCTGAATTACAATTTTTGATAACTCCCAAACTAAGAGCTATTTCCTTTTGATATCCTTACTACTTAATTGTTGAGCAGAAAAATAAATCCTATCTAAAGGATTGGCTAGTGGTTTTCTTGCTTAAGTTATTATGATCCAAAACTGAAAAAAAAAAATGAAGACAAATGTCTACCTCTCCCTCACTTGAAAGGAAAGCAGCTTCTTAAACTGGCAGCTGACAGCTTCGCCCGAATTTAGTTTCAATACAGAGAAAACCAAACCAAGCTTATCATCATTTTTAAAAAACTCAGAGCCACTTGCCTATCTCATTCTTTTGAATGCTGCATGTCCCTGAATTTAATTTTTGGCCTTTTATTCATTACTTGTATATGCCAATAATTCTTTGTTCACAATAAGACTGGAATCAGTTGAAACAGAAAATTTAGTCTTGGAAAATATTCAAGCTGAATGGATTAATAAATTTAATATATGTACTATTGCTATATCTGATCATGCCCCAATAACATTATCAGGTACTACAACAAAGAGTCGTCCTATTTTTCTATATGGTATTTATATCATTAATAAAGGATTCACTTTTTATAAAAAGATGCAACAAGCGGTTCAATAATTTATTTTCATAAATAGAGATTTTGTGAATTATTGACTATTTCGGGTCCTTTTACACTTATTAGATGGGGTCATATTATCGCTTAAGCTTCACTGAAAAATCAAAATTAAAAAGTTAAACTTGAAAATTTGGGAGTGGAAATAGATAAAGAACTTTTGAGCACCTATGTTAGACAACCCACATTAGAACTGTATAAAGCAAGGAAGATATTAATCATTTTTATATAACACTTCCTAAGATTATACACAATCAAGTTGCCTATTTAGCTGCATTCCTCTCTAATGGACACCAGGAAAAGAGGAGTTGGAATGATTATATATTATATAAACAGGTAGTCTTCAGCTTACAACAGCAATTGGGACCAGAATTGCCATCACTAAGTGATGTAGTCATAAAGTACAACTTCACATGACCACATCACTTAGCAACAGCAGTCCTGGTTGCTGTTGTTAAACAAGGTCTCACATGACCGCGACGTCCGACTACCTGCCGGCTTCCCCATTGACTTTGCTTGTGGGAAGCCAGTGGGGAACATTGGAAATCATGATCACATGACTGCAGGGATGCTGCAACAGTCAGAACTATGAGGACCCATTGTAAGTACCACTCATTCAGTACAGTTGTAATTCTGAACAGTTGCTGAACGAATGATCATAACCTGAGGACTACCTGTACTGCATTGGCTGAAGCTGTTGCTTATGTGCATTGTCTTGATCACAGTGGTTGATTAATTTAAAAATTCATAAATAAATACTGAGTGGTGTGAAACATAGATTGAATCCTTTGCCCTCATATTACTGGAGGTCTATAATAATACATTTTTAAAAAACAGCTTTTCCAACTTTTTTAGTTAGATTATAACTCTTGTTGTGCATACTACCATCCAATTTCCCTGTTAAATATTGATGCAAAATATTGATAGCAACCCTGGCACACACATTACAGATGATATTACGTCTAGTTATCCATTTTGCACTGCCTGGTTTTATGAAATATCAAGTATCTGATAATATTAGATAACTAATTGTTGTTCTGGATATACAGTCAGAAAAATTGAAATCAGAGTCGTGGTCTTATTGACTGCGAAAATGGCCTTTAATATGTAAGTGTTACTACAAATAGAATTACCTGTTTATCTATCAAAATGTCTTATGGAGATTGTCATAGATGCCCTTTTGTTTTTAATTTGATTTTGGAACCACTGGTCTGCCTTATTAGACAAAGGGAAGACGTGTTCAGAATAAGAACAAGTGGGTTGAATGCAAGCTGTTATTAATGTAGATGATATATCATGTCTTATTGATAATTATATTGTATATTGTACAACAATTATTTATATTGTACAACGTTGTTAATTTATCAGGTTATTCAATTCACTGGAATAAGTTTCTTATCTCCTACAGGCTCTAATGTTTCTATGAAAATTTGTAAAAAGTAGAGTTCCCCTTGTTGCTTGAAACATCTGGGAGTAATAATTCCAAGGAAACTTTAATCATGTATAGATAGAAATACATCAAATTTTTAATCTCAGATAAAAATTGCCAAAAGCAGATGGTTAAAAATTCTGTTGAATTTATAGAAAAGTTAAACATGATTAATAAAGCAAAAATATATTAAAATTGATATTACTTTAATGCTGATGTATTTACCTAGAGGTATGTCTCAGCTAATATATCTTAAGTTATTATAAGCAGAATAAAAAATATTAAGAGTTCTTCTATAGGAAAGAGAAGCTCCTAGATTTTCTTCATTTGTCTGTGTGTGCCTTCAACTCACTGTCGACTCCTGGCGATTGCTTGGATTAGTCCCTGCAGTTTCCTTGGCAAGGTTTTTCAAAAGTGGTTTGCAGTTGCCTTCTTCCTAGGACTGAGAGAGAGGAACTGGCCCAAGGTCACCCAGCTGGCTTTGTGCCCAAGGCAGGACTAGAGCTCACTGTCTCTCAATTTCTAGCCTGATGCCTTAACCACTACACCAAACTGGCTCTCTTTCTTTATTTACATTATGGCGATTCAAAATTTGGTCCATATGCATTAGTAGCATTTAAATATCCTGAATTATTGTTAGTATTGGAATATGTTTTGGATGATTCCAGGTCGATAGTATTTTTGGATGACCATCTGAGTATCACTTAGATGGATACTAATCCTTTGCAAGAACTCTGCAGTAAAGAATGTCCCATATTAAGCAGTCAATGGCTAACAGCTTTAAACAATGCTATGTATATTTCTTATGATCTTAAGATGAAACTAATTCAGTATAATATTTACTTTCATATCTATTGGGCACCCCATGGAATGTTTAAAAGGATTGGTTGTCAACCTCATCATGTTGGAAGAGTAAAAAAGGAGAAACTCTTCTATAGTGGGTTTGTTCCACTATAGCCCTGCTTTGGTTTAACAGCCATACATTTGGTAATATGAAGTTACAAAGATCAAAATGGGTTGAAAATGGGAATGTACTTTCAAATTATATACCAAACACTTGGAATATAGGAAGAATCATCATTTATGAAGCTTGGGGGATAGCAAAAAAGTTTTCACTTCACTTGAAAAGACAATGCAATTCTAAATATATATTTTTGGATCAATAATTGGTATTCACTTACTGTTTATGAACTGGCTCTCTATTAATGCAATAGTTAGAATGATCTGTATTATTTTGTCTGGTCAGATTTTAATCTAGTTATATTTAGGTCAAATTTAACATGTATGAGTGAACTTCTGTGTATATTACAGGACTTTTCGCTCTTCCCTACATTCCTTGGAACTTTAAAAATTTTACCTGAGGAGCCCTCCAGTACCTGTTCTAAGGACTTAGAAGAAAGAATTAAATAAGATCTCCTCCCCAGCTCTTGGATGGAAGAGATTCTATAAAGGGAGGAACTAACTGGATAAGAATATCTAATCTACTGTTACTCATAGTTCATTACAAATCAGAATTAATGTAAATATGGAAACCATACTGAAGTTAGTAGAGCTTGGTTTTAAATAGACTATATTTTTAAATTCTGGAAGTCAATATTATTGATATTGTATTAAAATGGGAAGAGTATGGCCCATTGTGAGCATCAGAACTCAGTAGTTTGTATGTATGTATGTATGTATAATTAGCTGTCTACCTCCTCAAAGTTAAAAAAAAACTTGAACATACTGATGATAAACTAGTGCTGAAAGAAGAAAGACTCAACCTCTATCTGATACTAAATATAGGATTCCATTTCCTATTGGTCAGGTGACTTCATTGGCTTTTCAGGAAGCAGGAAAGAAGAAACTTTATTTCTTATTTCACTGATATTATACTATGTTCACACAGAATAATATAATTCAAAGTCTTAATAAAATTCTAATTAAAAATCATGAATATTTCCCAACTTACTGTAATTACAAAGACAAAACCAAGCTGTATATCTAAAATGGACATTACCTTGAGAGATCCTTCACAGTACTGGAAGAATTGCTTTAGCCCAACCTCAGAAATTCTCTGTTCTTTATCATGGCAATGATCAAGAGTGAAACACTCAGGGTGGTGTTTCCCTAAACTAATCAACCAATCATCATTCAAGCAGTGGCAATTTTTAAGCTGAATCTTCTTCCCTAGAGAAAAATAACCCAATTTGTTTAGTGCAGGTTGATATTTATTCATCAACTAAAGACTCTTTACAAAATTTCATTTAAAAATGAAAATAAAACATTATTATTAATATGCATTTATCCCAGCAAAGTTTAGGGCAAAATGTGTGATTTCCTTTTCCTTGGAGATGGATTGTGGAGATTGCTCACCACAATCATCCACTGAATCTGACAGGTGGAGATTGGAAGTTAGATTTTCTCAAACCCCATTTTACATTCAACTGCTCTATCTGATATATCAACAGCATGTAAGAAGACTCACAGGATACAGAGAAAGAAAGCTATAATGCTATTTGGGTGGCACAGGGAAATGTCAGTGTAACTGTAATCAAATTTATCATGCAAGTCAGGCCTGTACATCTCTTCTTAGTACATTATCCTGACCATTCCTATTGTATATCCATGTGGAGAAAGCAAATCCATCTTGGGTGTGGCAAACCACATAATATCAAGGAGTAGCATTTGAAGAACTGTCTGCTAAGGCAGTCTCTAATGATAATTATTAATTTACTGTGCTAAATAAATACTAAAAATCTAAGTGAGGCAGAATAAGCTTTTAGCCTCTTCTAAAGTAGTTCTTTGAATCACAGACTTTGTGTACCAAGTAAATACTAGGCACTATCCAAGCAAGCAAATTAATTGGTATGAACTAGATTTGAATGGTACCCCTCCTTTCATCCCAACTCAAGTAAACTCCTTGCTATAAAGTAATGAGAAAAAAATAAACTGCTTTTATTAAAACTAAGTGCAATTTCTTCCAGAAGCAATGACAACTGTTCAAGAATGACTGTGCTGATTCTTAAAAAGTGTTTGCACAGCAGAGCTGGCTGGTTTTCTTCAGTTAATTATTCTTCATATCCAACCTTATACCTTCCAACATGCCACACAAATCTACAGTGCTGTCCCATGCATGTTTACACAGGTGCAAGCTCCATCAGAATGTGAAATTTATTCCACTCTTAGTATACAGTATGGACTACAGCTGTAAAATAACTGACATAGTATTTACCACATAAACTATTTTTTAAAAATATAGTAAATCTTGAAATATAGACTGCAGTAATAAAAGTGGCATGTGACCAAATTGAGAACTCAAGGTATTTGTAATTGCCAGCAGTTGCTATTTATAAATTGGCAACTATCTAAAGTGAGACAATAACCAAGAGGTTTAGGACAAGCAGTGGATAAGACTGAAGAACAAATCAGAACCTGAAGATAAGCTAGAAGACAAGAACAAGAAACATACCATAAGTCACAGCAATGGCCAAGATTAGAGGAAAACCATACAGCTCACAAGGGCCTTGTTATTCAAACAAATCTCAAATACAACAGGAAGTAGTCTAGCAATGTTATCCAGGAGTATCCAACAACCAGCCTAGCTAAGAGGAACATGTTTTGGATGATTCCAGGTCTACAGTATGTTTGGGTGACCATTTGAATATCACTAAGATGGATATAGAAGAAGAGAAGAGAAGAAGAGAAGAGAATATAGAAGAGAATAATAACTTTATTGTCATTTCACTATACACTATACATCAAGTGCATAATAAAATGAAATTCCGTTGCAATTGGCTT